TTTGTTGTCGAGCCATGCATAAGGCCAATATTGCCATTGATAGTTTTTGAGAATTTGAAATACAACATAAAACATTGGCATTGTCGAACGAAAGACAGTTTTCTTTTTTGTTTCTTCTGAAAACTGTTGCTTCTCAAAGAAAAAATATTTATCTTCAGGTTCGAATTTTTCAACCTAATGTGTTAGAAATATTAAAAATCTCTTAGTACAGTTTGTTCCTCTTCATAAAAGACATAGTTCTTAATTTTACAAGCAAGAGAAAAGTCTTTCCAATAAGAAAAATCTAGGTAAAATGCAAATAGAACTAAAGTTTTAAGCAAATGAATTTTTTTCTAGTTTAAAAATAAGAATTTTTCAGTCTATTCAGCAAAAAATTATCGTTTGGAAATAGTTTATTGATCTTGCAAGTAATAACAACTGTCGTATTCTTTAAGGGCCAATAGAAAAATCGAAAAATAAACCTTTTTGCATTTCATAGTATCATTGTAAATCGGTTGTTTACATTTACATTGTATTAGATATGATATATGATAATATCAAAAAAAATTACTTTTGTACGGCATGATTCGCATATTTTTGTTCGCTTTCTTCAGTTTACCGTAGTTTTCTGGATAGGAAAACCGAAAACTTCTAAAAATGATTAAATGCAAGTTTTGCATACTTATATTTTACTCAGATCAAAATTTGTTCTGAGTTAGAGAAGGAAATAAAGCTTTACTGTTGAAACTTTCGATACTATTCGCATGATATCGAATTTAGCTATAAAGCTCTATAACTACAATAGATACAGTAACTGTTGTTCTATATAACTATATATTACTGAGAAATACTCTAATGATTGGATGACTATAATTTACTCAACGCAAATCATCGATTGAACTTTTTTTCCCAGGGATAGAATGGGTGACAAATGGATGATTCGATAGAAAAATTGAATGAAATGTGCAAAAGAAAGTAAATCATCCTGTATCTGAGAACATAATACAATGTTGAGGGTTCGAACTTGGCAACTGTAGCTCGACTCATAACTAACCACGCGTACTAATATAAAAAACAGCGCAAAGAGAAATCGAGAAGTATCAAATGACGTGCTAATTTGAAGAAGTAAAACATGAAAATCAGTGTGAATGATAGTAGTAAAAGAGTGGCGAAAGTAAATTCAACGTTTCTTTGAGTTTGTGTTTTCATTGATTATAAATATCAGCAAGTCCAATAAATTGCTTTGAGAATAAATTTCTTAGTCGTTTCTCTCGAATCAATTTTGTTGAATGAAAAAAGCAAGGAATTTCATTCCTACGCAATACGTGCACACAGATATCAGGTAGATTTACATCTAAATGCATGATATGCAGGATGAGTTTAATGAGAATTTTAGATCGCGTCTCGTGAACATCAAGATGATATCTGGCCTAACTTTCAGGGCGAACAGATTGAATGTCTTCTTTTTTGTAGGGGCACCTATCAAACACTAGAAAACTAGTTGAATTACTTTTCTATGCGTGTAAAAGAGTATGAAATCGATTCTCTATCTGAAAAAATCGTAATTTTATTCAAGTAAACATCGAAAGCTACTAAATTAATTGGAATACTTTAAAAACATGAAAGATTATATAGAGCCAATAGTTTGTTCGATTTATCAAAATCCAGTAGTGTCAAACTTGAAACTTGAATTCAACTGAAACTTCAAGTTTCAAGTTTGACGTTACTGCTCTGACACTACTGCTTCCCCGGCACCCACACCTTTGAAACTTGAAACTTGAAACTTGAAAGTTGAAACTTGAAGTTTCAGTTGAATTCAAGTTTCAAGTTCGACATGTATGTCAAAATCATGAAGTACGTAGTATCTTTTTAATTCTGTTTATAAATAAATAGGAAACGCAGGATATCTGTATAGGTGCTCTTGCTTTCAGCGATACTCTTTTACAATACATTGGCAGAACTGATAGTATCTATAAAAGTTTAATCATTAAAAAGATCTAGAGAATGGCATCGATTATTCGAATAGGTGGGCTTGTGCATTTCATAAGTAATAGTAACTAACGGAAATATTTATCTTATAGCTTTTTTGTTGTTCATATGAATGTCTCTGACTGTAAACTAGCGTCTAGTATTGATTCTATAATACTATTTCGTGAGACATTCGCAAACTGTTGTGTTCCACAGTTGTCGATGGATCAAAACAAATTATGAATAAATTCAAATCGCCATATTGTTTCGTAACATATCAGCAATTGATTGGAGTGTCAGGGAATGCTCGAATGAATTCCCCCTTGATATATTCACTTAGTTGAAATGACCATTTTTCGAAAAGATTCTCCATCTGATTCTCAACCAACGAACTCAATAGAACAAAATACAAAAACTTCATTGTAGCACTATTACAAACGCTCAACTTTAAAAACTTTAAAAACAACTGGTAACAGACAAATAAAAAGGCACCATATTTATTAAAGTAATGTTGCGAATATAGAATATTGATGTCCTGCTTCGGTGAATTTTCATCGCGAAATCTTAATGTATAAAAGATGAGTTATCTAACTAAAGAAAACACGTTTCTTTTTATTTAAGAAAAAATTTCACACGAGAAGAAAGTTTCATTTTGAAAATTCTTAAATATACAAATAAAATAAATCTTTTGAATCTTCACTAAGTTGACACATCAATCACGCATTAATAATTCAATAGGATTTTAGTTTTTACTTTTTATGGGATTCGTGTTCAATTTTCTAGAGAATCAAATGTTGAATGTTTTGAAAAATGTTTCAGTTCACATAAATGGAATATCTAGTTTTTTTTTTCTTTTTTACATTACTTTCTCGACGTACATATCTTATTTTGCCATCGTGTGACCGAATCATCTGAAGAACGAAAAATCCTAAAACTATTCATTCAAACGTAATGTGAGCCTCAAGGTCGAGCTATTCATAGCAACTTTCAAGTTTCGAGATAATTAAAATGATGTTATCAATAATACACGTTAGCCACTAGTCTATTCGTGTTGATAAGTTTGAGTAGAGTTTTCTCAGGGATGAATTTTAATATGGCTACCTCAGGCGAAAAGCTATTCTAAAGACACTTTTCTTTTTCTTAATTTTTGAATGCAATAAAAGAAGTAACTCTATGAGATTATGAAAGTAACGTGCAGAATACTGATTTGTATTTTCGATTTAATTGGAGATTGAAATCATGCTTCGCATTGCATTTCGTATATACGAGTAATAACTCGGATACCATCTAGTTTTTTTAATGCGATGCGAAGCATAGCAATAGTCTATCTGTTTACAGCGGAACTAAGATAATAAATCATAGAAATAATTAATCATACAATTAAAATCGTTCTTTGAAAATATGTTGATAAATAAGCACGGATAGAGTTTTCTGAGCGATGAATTTCATTACGCCTACATGAGAAGTATTCATGTTTTTTTCGTAGGAGATCCGATTCGAGCTTCACACCCGCATTCCATGTTAGAGTGTAACGCAAAGACGATCTACTTCTGTCCATTTGTTCGTTCTTTTGTTAAATTGTACCAAAAGATGTTTCTTTGTTCATGTTCAGCTATGTATTCATTTTTTGTCGTGCATACACGAAATATATTCCTTTTAAACAATGTATATGATTACTTTTTTTTTGAGCTTCTGTGATTGATTATGATATTCATTTCTTATTTTACTTCACTGCATGTTTGCTGTTCATATTAATTATGTGATTGGCATAAATATATTCGATTGAAAAGAAATGATCAATAAAATATTTTAAATATTCTACTGATTTATATTGAATTATTTGTAGGTCAAAAAAAACTCCACGTTCGTCTCTTCAAACAAGAAAAGAAGTCTAAGAAGATACAGATTCTGAAATAAATTTGATTTATGAATACATCAAATAAACTTTTGTTAGTTGTCAATTTACAATTATTCGATTCATTGATGCAGAATAGCTATAGGCATTTTTGTTTTCGTCTGAGCAAATTTTCATTAATAAATATTTTCAATCGATCAATCTTTTGATTATAACATGTTTTCGATTGATTCACATGTCTAAGTGCAATATTCATAATTATAATAGATATATATATGAAAAAATTATTTGTAGTATGCTTTAGTCTAAACACTATATATATAGCGATAGAACATTCAAACTGACAGGTCGTACAGATCATTTCTTACCGCCACCTATCGCAATTATTTATTCTTGTAAAAACCAATCAGAAAAATTCATATGATTCATTATTGTATTAATATTATTATTTAACCGTATACTATCGTCGAGTAAGTAAGCAAATATTATACAAAGTGAATCAACAATGAGATAGATAGAATGTGAGTTAGAGTACAAATCGATTTATTCATTGTCCGGGGCTTATTTATACATTTTAATCAAACAAAATAATTCTAGTATCAATGACAATATTTCGTTTCTTTCTCGAGTCAGGTTTTTTTCTACATGCAACTAGGACTAGGATGTCAAAGCTTTGACATAGGTAGATTATTGTAAGCACTAAAAAAGATCATAATAATAAAATGTTTGTTTTATTTTCATCACAAATTTTATCTTCTTTATGTATCAGTAGTTTCCATCAATATCTTTTTTTTGGCCTTGACATTCGTCATCGTCTTTTTTTCTATAAGAATATATAAGATCATAAAATATTGTGTGTTAAGAATATAAGAGGAAATACGCTGCGTACGTCGCCTATTACTATTATAGCTATGGCTAACATCATTTTTTTCTACCGACGTTCGAGCTTGTATGTAGACATCGCAAGCCATAAAGTAAGCAAAAGAAACGAGACCAAGACAGATGGTCTGTTCTATTCTATTCTATTCTTTGTTTAATATCTATCCGCTGTCGTAGACAAAGAAAAGAATACTAATCACTGAACAACAGTAGTAAATATGACCAGAAGTAAACTCTATAAACATCAATGACCTGATTCTATTTTATTTATTTAGAAAATGTTGTTAGTAGGCAGTCTGAAACTTTTATGTTATATGTGATGGCATTTGATAATAATAATACCACGAATATTCCGTATAAAAACCCCGAAATGTCGACAGTCAAAGATGAAGACAGCCCAAAACAACAAATCAATGAACAGTCATTAACACAAGATCTTGAAAAAAATCGAGAATGTAAGTTCAACAAATAGAAAAACCCATTGAAAATGATCGAATAGTTTGTCTTTTCATTTAGCACTTAAACGTAAATTACAAGCACGTCGATCAATGAAACAACTTGTTGATGTTGGTATTATGCCTCCACCAAAAGCACCATTACCTTTCTATGAACAACGTAAACAATTACAAATGCGAAAAGTATTAAAAGAAATTTTTATTTGAATTATTGATGTTTTTTTCCCTTTAGACCCAAGATATATTAAAAAATAAAATAATATCTCGACCTGATCGCCAATTATTAATTGAACATAATATATTGTCAGATACAACAGCAGCCCCAGCTATACAAAAAACACAGTGTCAACTAAAGCGTGCACGTTTAGCGGATAATTTAAATGATAAATTAGCAGCACGTCCTGGTGTATTAGAATTAGTTGCAAATAATATTTTAGAAATTGATCCAAATCTGAAAGAAGCTATACAAGGTGGGCGCATTAAATTTCCATCAACAAAATCAACATCAAAACAAACAACACAAATTTATTCATCAACTGATCAACAACCACGACCGTTACGTCCAAAAACATCCTCATTTTCAAATACAATTAATGGACAATCTTCAGCAACAACAGCAAAACGTTCATTAATATCAACATCGAAAGTTAAATCGAGTTTAACATTTCATGAATATAAGGGACCGTCGCAAAAAGTTGCAATAACTAAAGTGCCAGTACAACCGACACCCTCACTTATTGTACAACCCGTTCAAGCAACACTTTTACCTCTCGTACCATTAGAACATAATAATACGCTTAATGAAAATCATTATAGAATTCAATTACGACAGCAACAATTATTTCTTGAATTACTTCATGATGATAAACAAGCTGAAAATGACGATAGAAACGATAACGATGATACAAATAATGATGATAATCCAATAGGTAATTTACTTCAACAACCTATTGATGATAATGTGAATCTATTATCGACAATATCAGATGAAATACAATCATTTGAAAAAATGAAATTAGCTGATTTAAAAAATGAATGTAGAAAATTAAATTTAAGTACAACAGGCACGAAAATTAAATTAATTGAAAAATTAAGAAACGCAAAAGTCAACATGTCAGGTAAAATACACACAATTCGAAATTTCATGTTAAAAAAAATTCCTTTCTTGTTTAGATACAAAAATTATTCCGTCACAAACGATGAATAACGAACCAGCTTCAACTCAACTGACAAATGCATCAACGTCATCTGTTACATTCATAAGTAATTGAAATACTTCGTAAAAAATCATCGTCTCAGTTAATTCACTCTATGAAGAATAATGCAGTTTTTATATTATAATAAGAAAAGAATTAAGAATTGTTTTTGATCTCGTGAGAAGAACTAGGTAGAAAAATAATCAAAAACAACACGAAAGTTGTTGTTTTTTGAAAATTTTCTTACAAGATCTATTTCTAATTGGTCGGTAATATAGTATAGTTTTCTAATCAGATAAGTTACATGAACACCCTTGAGAATGAAAGAATAGTTACCACAGGTATTTTCTTACATCCCAATAGAAACATTTTTTAATTTCCTTCAGCATGTATAATGCCGATGAAAATAGGCATCTTTTTCTTGAGTGTTCTTATTTTATGGTTAAATAGAGAGAATTAGCTTAAAAACAATCCTGTTATAACAAAATTTTATTTTTCAAATGAATATTTCTTTTTAGTGCCAACATCTTCATTAAGCGATCAAGAACTTTATCAGCACCAACAACAAAAAATTATTGAATTAGAAAATCAAGTACAAAAATTAAAACAACTAGATTCGTTTTCACTGCAGACTTCACATCTCATGCATCATGTTGACTATATGACAAGTGTAAATGTTTGATTTTTTGTTTGAAATCTTTTTTTTTTGAAGGTCTATATTAATTTTTTTATTAGATTCCACCAAAATGTAATCCAATTGTATCTGTTGAATTACAAAAACGTAAGAACAAATCAAAATTTGTTTCTATTAATCAATCGTTTGATTCCAATTCATTAGGAGTACTTATACATCAACAAGAAAAATTAAAACAAAAGATTCACGATGAGCAACAACTACACCACCACCAACAACAACAACAACATGCTATTGTTCCTTTAACACCTGAATCTGTAGCACAATTTCTTGCAAATCAAACTCAATCACATACGTCAGATAATCATTCATGGTCGATACATCATTCGATATCTGCTCCAACTTTTCCAACATTTATGGATAGTAATTATTATGACACATGTCAATCGGTAAAAATATTATTACAAAAATAGAAACAGCAAATCAATTGTTTATTACTTTTTTCTCTAGGGAAATATTGAAGAAAAATTAGTTGATGATGATGCTATTCTAAGTCTATTGGATGATTTTTCTGGTAATATTCAACAGATGTATGATTGAGAGAAATATCAATGTTTTATCTTTAGATACTAGTTCAACATTACCACTACATCCAAATGATTCACTATCACATGCTACAAATTCCTATGTATCTTCATCCCCTACTTCACATATGGATTGGCTGCCGATGATATCTTCTCCAACAATGACCAATGATTTATATGACGATAATAATTCTGATTTAACACAATTTCTTAATCAATTCGGTAATGATCATCATCTTCTTTTCGATACTCCACTATCAACATGTCAACAGCAAAATGTACTTTCATTCGATTTACTTTCTCCATCGAGTCCAATGATTTAATTTGAACCTTTCCTTTGTTTGTGTCTTATACATGTATGCGTTTCGCTTGTTCTTGCTGTTATTTGTGTGAGTGTGTTTTTTTTATACATATATTTTTTTTTCTGCGTCACCCGTTATCTTTATCGACATTCATCGATCAAAACTATAAATATATACATATATCTAATATTACTTGATTGCGTTTTTATAACGGGTGACACAATGAATCTTTTTCTATACATAATAAAAAAAAAGTAAAAATTCTATTTTTTCTCTTCAATACAGCACTCGTTGCACCTTGATAAACAATGAGATACTAACCAAAAGACATTTGAATAGCCAGTTATTCCTAATCAACATAAAAAGTCTAGAAATTGTTTGTTATGAAAAATCAGTGTAACCCACAAGCGGATATTAACATTTCCATAAACAATCTTACTATGTTCTCTGTTTTCTCTCTCTATATGTTGATAAACTGCGTAAAGAAAGCGTATATAGTCAACCGTTATAAACATATTGACCATATTATTAACGGGATCCTATTGATAATTCTACGTCATAAATTAAATCAAGAATCTAAGAGAAATTTTCTAGTACGCATACGTAGATAGAATAATTATTGTTGAAAAGATCGATGGCACTATAATCTTGCGTGTCATAGCCTACGTTTGTAAACATATATTTATGTATATCAACATACTATAGCATAAAAACAAATAATTTTGAATAAATAAGTAATCAACTTTATTCCTACTGTTCTAATTATATAGAGCAAAACTATAAGAAGACTCAGACTTTATTCTTGAATAGAAATAAAAGATTCTTTTATCATTATTTCAATTGAGTACCAATACTAAATTATGGTAACGAAGTATAGATCATGAATAATTTATAACCAAGTCTAATAATTTTTATAGTTTCAGTAACCAATGTAAAATTAAATCTATCCATATTCATCGAATAAATACAAGCATATATTTTAAACTATCACTAGATGAAAATATGAGGAGGGCTCAGTTTGTTTTTTTTCTGCGTTCGATAATAGATTATCCACATAACTATTATCAAATATATTCATGTAAAATTCTTCTCCATGATCGAACTAATGTAAAACAGTAAAAAATATTGGAGAAGGAATAAGTGATCCAGCAGCAGCAGCAGCAGCAGCATAGAAAATGATCACAAAACGATAGGGACATCGTTATGTTTTAAATTGATAGTCGATACTTTTACCATATAATTCTTTGGATAAGTAAATTAAAGAGGCTCCAAACCAAAAGCAAGAAGGACAAACTGTAAGCTCTCAATCTCATCTAAAATATTTATCGTGAAAACTAGATTATCATTTTTTTGAAGAAATTCATTGTATTAGTATAAAGTGATAGCATTAGAATGATGAACGCAGACAACCGACGACAACTTTACCTCATTCTACTACATAACAGAAAGAAACTAGTTTTAATGTTAATAAAGCCAAGCGACACAACATCAGTGGAAAATGAAATAGAAAATCAACGTGAAATTTATTTTCTAGTTATTGGTCAATTTTTAGAATCAGTCTATCGCCACAATATCCCATCCTCTACTAACAAAAAAGACATAAGATTCAGGACTCTTATCAAACGTATTTCTATCTCTCAAGTCAATGCCATCATTTTATTTCCAATCGAGACATTCCGCTACGATTCAGATACTAGAGACGTTCGTCGCAAATTATAAGACCACCGTAACCTAACGCTAATGGCGACTTCAGAAAATAGAAACAAGGTCGTCAGCCACTTATTATCGGTGACAATTCATCAATCCAACTAAGAAAAATATCAACAAGAGATTCTTCGACAAAACTCTGATAAATCATATAGATAATCATGAACGAAAGTACATCAGTTACTGAGCAAGTCACAAAATTCAACAGATGATGCTAATGAGCAAGCATGAAACTAGTTTTAATACTTATTATGTACAGATGCTCCCACTTAACCACATATAAAAACTCTTGAAAGGCTTTACTCATATTTACTTTACTATATCACAAAATCCATTGGAAAGGAAATTGAAAGGCGCTTTAAATTAGATATAATTTTACAGAAACCTATCAACTGATTTCTTCAAGTCGAAATTTGATTCTGTTTTAGTCGAAATGAATCCGTTTCTTGACTGAGACGCCGTTGCACCCACAATACAGTTGGCAAGAACCCAAGTAAACCCCATACTGGAAACCATATCAGTGTTGCACCAAAAGCAAAATTTAAACTTGTTCCGAATGCAAATGCCACACTAACACCAATGAAAACAAGTGCTCCTGTTGCCCAGAACACAGTCATTTCATATACAAGACATTGAAAGATCGGACTACTTTCGTAACGTTGATTGAGAACTTTTCTGAAAGCCGATCGACCACCGCCGTCAACTGCCACAATATCTTCCATAATATAATATCCAGCAGGTCTCATCTTGTGACCTGGTGGTAGAGAAGATATCCAGATAGGTACTGGCGGTTGGAGGAGCGATACGAAGAACTGAATAGTAACATTACCGACAAGAATAGATGGTATCATCAAAAACAGTTGTCTGAAAAGAAATCATAAGATGGAGATCCTCAATTATAGTTAAGAGACAAGAAAATAAAATAGAAACTGAAGATGGCCATAGGGAATGGCTATTACGCGAGTGACATGCACTGGGAAATTTTTAAGGAAACAAATTATTAAAGTATCTATTGCTACAAAAAGTTTTGTTCCTGAAGAAGAGATAAAACTATTGCGAAGTGACTGAGATCGCAGATGATTCTTTCATATGACACATAAAAAAAGTGATACGATAAGAATTCTGTAATACTATTCGAGTCGGAAAAGCGATAGAATTGATGGTAATCTCACTCATGCTAGGTTCAGAAAGAGCTAAGTCCATCTGATCGTATTCATGAAGATGTGTTCAACTAAAAAAAAAAGTTTTATCTGCATTTCTCTAGAACTATTGATGTTTAGAGGTAATCATTTCTTTCATTGCAAATACAATTATTTTAGTTCGAATAATGAATGTATAAATTCCGATAATTTTGTATAGTTTCTGTTTTCTGATAAAGTATTAACAGAATAGTGAAATTGGTTGTTCAATAAAAAAAATTCAAAGATAACAAGAAGTATCTTCAGAAAAATACTAATTCTACAACCTTACGGAATAGGAACCGATGTTGAGACGATGTATACAATGGTGAGAAGTATAAAATTGATAACGTATTCCCACATAAATAGATCCATAATATGGCCACTAAGTGGACGTCTATCGCCTCCGTCTTGCTTCCATAATTGCCAGAAACGAAATGGAAGTTGAAGCATACTTGGCAATCCATTTGATATCGAAGTAAACCCGAGGATACTTCCCACGTCCATGTTAGTACAGTAAGTTAAAGGATAAAATACAGCAATAGGTATAATCACCACTGTTACCAAAACAAATGACCAAAATATCACATTTGGTGTCAAACAAGATCTTAGGTCATAATCCAAAGAAATTGGGCCATTTCCAGCGTTGTTGACAGAGTCCTTCTTTGTGTTGTCTGTAGGGATATTATCTACGTTGTCTGTAGGACCCTTCTTCGTGTTGTCTGTAGGAACATTCTCTACATCGTCTGCAGGAATATTGTCTGCAGGGTGACTCTTTAAATTGTCAGTAGGGTCATTCTTTACATTGTTTGTATGGCTAGTCTTCACGGTATCATAAGGGCCATTCTTTAGATTGTTTATAAGACCACTCTTCACGCTGTCGTAAGGGCTGACTTTTGGATTGTTTTTCGGGCCATTCTTTGCGTTGTCTCTAGGGTTATTGAACTTGGTAGACATGGCAATATGTCTATCAAAAAAGACAACAGTTAAGAAACATTTTTACTACTACTTACTGTATAAAAAATGCTTTTTGTGCACAATGAAAATAAGAAAATTCTTCAGCTGTTCATTAGTAAATAAAGAGCTTAATCCCTGTCATAATGTACATTGCTAAGTTTTAGCAATAAATAATCTGTGGTCAGAGCTATCTGAACAATAATAACCGCTAAATATTTTAAGACATTCTAGAATGAGATCAATGATTATGAATTGTGATAGAATCTATGAGACTAATATAAAGTAAGATATCTATAGTGGAATTTTCTTTCATCAAAGTTTGTAAATCATCGTTGTGTTAGATTGTTAACTGAGATCAAGGAGAATTTGCGAAAAATTCACCGAATGGATAGCTCTCAGTGTAATTTTTCGACTCAACACAGGTAAATATGAACATTTTCATCAGAAAAAGCTGCATCCGAACAAGGGCTTTTCAATAATATTGAGACTTATAGAGAAATTTTCACTTTCATTCGGTAAAGAAAAATAGATTTTAAGAAGAAAAAGCAAGACTGAATAACTAGATCGAATGATTACAAAGTGTTTACTGCTTTGTCGGTAAGTTAAAAGCAACCTGTGAGATTAAGAAGTTGTTACTTTCTATCAGAATTTTCTTTCAGTGTTACTTCAGTCAATCATCAATTGTGCAGTTTTCAAATGTCTATTCAGATACAGTTGATAATTTCATGGAGAGTGTCAGAGAACTTTGGGATACAAGAGCAGACTAAAGAATAAAATTCATTTTGAACAACACAATGATAAACAGTATCCTGTTTGTGCCCTTTATATCAAAAGTCTATAGACAAATTTAAAGAAAAACGTGGAGCTTACGACCATATGTTAAAGCTTACAAAAATGATTTAAAGAGTTTATCTGTATGTAGTAGTGCACAGTTAACACGTAGGTTGTATCAGAAAAAACTCCAAACCATTTCTCAATTCTCGATTTAGTGAGAAATCAATTGTATACATGTGAAAGAGATATATGCTTCGTAGCTGCTTCAGTTTTGCTCATTTCTGTTGGTCGTTTTACATAGGGTCATCGAACACGCACAAGCACATGGCGGTTACTTGCAAGCGTAAATTAAAGAAGCACGCTCACTGGTTTTGAAAGACACTAATAGAATGTGACACAGGAATACAGATGAATGCGAATTTTCTATTCGTGAATAATTCTGCTTCTGCTCGATAAAAAGACAGTATAGGACTTATTTTCTTGTAAAGTATCATCTGATGGTTTCCATGCTGTCTTTTAGGATGTTACGCATTACGGCGCCTTACTCTGTCACAATTCTATCGCAAAATATAAGATATGGATAGATCATTACGCTCATCAGAGAAAAGGTTATACCTTTATTTGTGGATACTTCACTTCCACGGTGTGCGTCATGCGTTGCAAAATAAATAATTATATGATTCATCACACGAAGAGTAGTTGTGTTACTCATTCCATCGAGCAGAAAACTTCACGGAAAAAATTCTCATCTATTTTTATACCTGTATTCCTACTAGTATTTATTATCAAACTCTTTAGTTTCTATTAAAATCAGTGAAACTGCTTTTTTACCTTATTGTTGAGAGAGGTCCTTTGTATTCTTGAACATGTTCGACGTTTATGGAAGACGAATGAAAGAAAAGAACGATCAAAAAAAAGGCCACAAAACTGCTTTCTAACACAACATTTTTAGAAAGAAGTCACACCACTTTTACATGTTGATGCCTCGTTTTGTTTTTTCAAAGCATCTAAATGTGTCGTTTTTCGTCTCCAATATAATTAAATGTTCTTGTTTTAAGTTGGCAACATGCTTTTTTCAAATTACAAAACATCTTGAAAGCAACTCGCTGACGGCATTTCTGTAACTTAATCGAGAAGAAATGTTGAAGCGTGAAGGTACACATTTGCAGACAGTTCTCAGGCTCTCCACAAGTTATGACATATCTTTTAATTAATTAGCTAATGATCATACACTGAATAGTTAATTAAAATAAATGCCCATCAAAGACCGTGATAGATAGCGCCTCGATCATTTCTGCGATGAATCTGAACCAGTCAGTGATGGATCCCTGCCTATCTATGTAAGATCGTGGGAGACTTTTGAAAAAAGAATTATCTATTATGTATACACCACTAGAATTTCATGAAAATATATCAACGGCTTCACTATCACAGTTCTACAGATGTCAGCAATAAGCGATCAGTAAATGAATCGCAAGATAGATGTCAAAGAAAACAATACTCGTCTGACTAATCACACGAATTATGTCGTGTTTCCTATTTTAATCCCACAGCGATTGTATCTAAATACCTATTAAGTGTTCTTTTTATCAAGAACGAGTTCGTTTTGAAATGCTGTTATTTTTTCATCCTTGATAGATTTTCCGTTGGACAACACAATGCAAAGCAAAACAGACAACATTTTATGAAAGTTCAATGACTGTACTAATTTTAACTGACAATATTATTGTAAACGTTTAAAATAGAAGAAATGAAAAATTAACTTTTGCAAACACATTACTTTTGCTACTAAATTTTTAACACTGATAAAATGGCTTTTCGTACAATAAAGCACGTGGAAAATAGATTTTTTTCAGAAGTGAATGATGATTTGTACACTAAGGAAACAGAAACAAATGATGCAACTCTATCCAATAGACCTGGACTTATGAAGATTTTCGATTTTAAGAGCATGACTGTACCCTGATCGCTCTCTTCATTTTTACACAACATAAAATTTCGTTATCAATACCTAAAGTAGTTTATTCGTTGAATTTCTTATCATAGATGCTTATATTTATTATGAAAAATAATGCTATGAGTGATAATCTACTGAATTTTCTATAAATGATCATCTGTCAACCCACACGTCCACTCACACCGAAAAATTTTACCCGATGACCTCCATCAAACACGATACTATTTGATAGAGAATAAAAATCTGCATAAATTTCAACTGAATATTACCCTAAGACATGTCAGAAAGTGAATCGGAACTGGTAATGCAGGAATATTGTGTTAACTTTTCGAATTTCAGTTTAATGTTTCTATAAAACAAAATTTAAGTGCTTATTTCTCAATAAATTTTTACAGAATTATTCTAATTAGATTGTTACATATATTTACCAAACTCTATGAATCATTTGTCAAACACATTCTTCTATCCATGAGGTGTTACAAGCACTTCTGTTTACTTCATTTTATCTTATCAGTGAGATTTGTAATAGTCTACATTTAGCGATGACAATGATGTTCGCTATTAAATTTCAACATCTTTGAAAACCAAAAATAATCAACTGAGTACGTATGTACTTTCATTTATAATATCTAAGAATTATTTCATAAATTCTTACAATTCAGATGGCTGCTGATACAGCAATAGCTGAATTATGTCCATTAGTTTTTCATCCAAAACATATTCCAATTAAAATCGACAATCGAACGAAGACTCAAAAAGCACTTTCTGTGTGGTTCATTCTTGCAACTGTTGGCTTTGAAAGATTAGCGTTTTACTCGTTAGCTGGTAATCTTGTACTTTTTCTTACATCGGAATCCATTCGTTGGACATCATTTAACAGCATTAATGCTTCACTAATTTTTTACGGTAAAATAATTCATCGATAGTAATTGATCTTATTTCATATCATGTTCTATCGAAAAAGGTACAAGTTATATATCAGCAATTGCTTTCTCTTGGATAAGTGACGCTAAATTAGGTCGTGCAAAAACTATTATAATTGGTGAGAAAACTATTCGTTTTTTTCTTTACACTCCTCAAATATTTTTCTAACATTATATATATATATATATATATATAGGTTTCTGTTTGTATCTTGTTGGCTATTTATTTATTCCATTGTTTTCAAAAGTGGAAATTTTTGAAAAGGTATGCGGTACTCTACCGACTTATATGGAAGAATCAACTTCATATTCCGAAGAAACATGTAGTAGTCTAATTACAGCGGCACTTGTTATCAGGTCAGTTGAACTTATATTTCAATTTTGAAACACTTCGAAGCATTAAACCTAATCTAGCGCAATAGGTGTAGGGGCAGTTCAAGCAAATATGGCTATTTTTGGTGCTGAACAAATTCAAGGAGAAAAATCTACTACACGATATTTTTATAAATATTATATTGCTGTGAATACAGGCTGTTTTCTCGCGTTTGGCATTATTGCTTATGTACAGCAAAATAAGTCCTATTTTATAGGTTACACAATTTCAACTATATTGCTTGCTGTAACTTTTGTAATCTTTGTTGCTGGCTATAGATGTTACATTCATATAAAGCCATATGATTCTGTAATTACCAATTGCTTTCCTATTTTGATCAATGCATTTCAAACAAAATGGAAACATCAGCGCTGTGCACGTGAAAAATTTAATCAACGAAAAGCAGCTAAACCATCAACATATTCGAGTGACGACGAGAATGAAAATCATGATTACTTGATGTCTGATACCAATGAACAGCAAATATCATTTTTTGATTATGCTAAAGCAGATCATAACGGTCGATATCCAGATCGTATCGTGGATGATGTTAAATCACTTCGACCTATCATTGCAATGTTTTTACTTTTAATTCCATATTGGCTTATATACGTACAGGTAGGTATATTTTCTTGTTCAAATTCAGTTGGAGAATAGACAAGTTTTTTAATTAATCTATTCGTAATTATTATATTTTTTAGAGTGATACAACATTTATTTTACAAGGTGTTCATATGAAAATACCAGCATTCCAATCAAATATAAATCGTATGCCTATTGTTTGGCTTTCACTGACTGATCAAGTAATAATTATTCGTATGTACTAATTAAAAAACGCATATTTATGAAGTATCTCCACAGAGAATTTATTTTAAACTATTCTTATAATTAATGAACGTTGATTATTGCTTATTTTAGTGGTCATCTTCATTTTAAATACATGTATATACGAACGTCTTCATCTTAACAATCGACTTTTTTCAATTAAAGCGCGTATGGTCATAGGCCTAATCGCAGCTACAGTTTCAATGTGTATAACTGGTACAGTTGAGATATTTCGTCAGAGACGATGTGATTCATCTTTTCAACAAACTATTGGTATGTAAAAGATAGTGCTAGATCTATTAACGTTATTGCAACATAATGTAAAATGAGTTCTGAAGTATAGAAGCAAAAAACGTGAAGTTTCACCGATCGAATATGATTATCGTCTCAATCTACTAGCATATGCTAACTATTTTCTCATTGTATCTCTGCAAGACTATGTAAAAATAAAAGACATCCTAGCAAAAAAGGATTTAATAAACTCGTCTCTCGATGTAATTAACGGCAGCAATTACATCCTGTTTGATATTTTAACTAGATTGAATTTCTCTTTATAGATAATTTCATTTTATATCCTAGGTGATACGACTTATAATGTTGCTGATATGTCAATATTCTATCAATTTCCACAATATATTAGTATAGGTCTCTCTGAAGTATTTACTTCAGTAGCTAGTCTTGAATTTGCGTATTTGGCTGCACCTCAATCAGCGCAATCACTTGTTATGAGTCTTCGGTTTTGTTCAGCTGGTATTTCATCGTTTTTGGGCTCTGGATATATTAAAATCTATGAAAATATTTATGAAAATTTTACCGTGACAAATCTAGAGGTATTTGAATATGAACAAAAGCCAATGTCTTTCTTAATAGAATTTTTATTATTTAGTGTGCTGACAGTCAAAATTCTGAATTATTCTATGTTTATTTTTTTGTTCTTGCTGGTATTCAAGTAGTATTTATTTTTATTTTCCTCGCATGTGATCATCGATTTCAATTACTCCACAATGCTTCACAAAATCGGTTTAATACACATCTATTTATTAGAACACAATCTAGACCGTCAAGAGCTTGATTTTTGCTGGAAAAAATTTAGTCTTCTGTACAATTTAGTTCGTTTCATTCAATTGTTGTTATAACCTTTTTTTCGAGCACACGAAAAAGAAGAAGATAACTCGTTCATGTTTTTTTTTTGTCGACAAGTAAAATCAAAAATCTGTTGAACATGCTCTTTCGATTGTATTATTTAAAATTACGATTTTTTCCTTTACACGCTCAAGCAGAACTTGTAAAAGAAAACTTTATTTTTCTTTACATTCTTCGAATCAATATCTTAAGTAAACGTTGTGACAGCAGTAGTAGAAAAAAAATTGTTCTTCACTTTATTTAAATGGTCGGTTTGTTTTTTAACATCGTTTACATGCTTATACGATAGGCTTTACTTCATTTGAAAGAAACATACAAGCAATTGATGACTTCGTTGACAAGTAAACTAGAAGAAATAACAAAAAGACTGCAACATTTAACTGTTTGGAGACCAAGTGAACGAGATCCATTTTTAGAACTCGATTGTTGGCGTACAGATGCTCATGCAACGATCGAACACATATTTAATAAAAAAAGACAACAAATTCTGCAACTAATTGAAAAACATGAACGAGAATTTATGCGACAGTTAACAAGACAACGTTCGCTATTAAATAGTATTCGTCAAAAAATATCGGCAAAGCAAGAAATCACTACACGTAATCAGATACAAAATGATACTTCAATATTCAATGATTTACAAAGCATAGAAAATGATATAAATACACGATTGGGTCGAGGTGAAATGCTTATTGAAATAGCTCCTTTGGATTTGGATAATTCAGTCACAGTTAGTCTTAAAACTTATGTTTCAACAACATCTTCAATGTATATAAAAGAAACATCAACAGTAAATCAACCAGTCAAGCCAAAACATCGATCAGCAGATGAAATAGCCCATGCGCTTAGTCGATGGTTGCAAGTCAAACAAGAGAAAGAATCAGTTACGTTGAAAGAACTAGAGGATACGAAACAAAAGAAACGAAACCATGAAGAAAATTCATGGATGAGAAAGAGACAATGTGATGATGCTTATACAAAGTGGTTGAGTAGGAAAAATGAACTGATTAAGAAAAAATCAAATCTAAATGATAGCGGCGTAAAGAAAGAAACAACTGAAACATAAAAGCACTTTTCTTAGTCCAATTATGATGAGTGTTGCATTTCTTTTTTCAAATAAATCCTCCATTAGATTTGATAAATGAAAAGAGTTTTTCAGAATTTCTAGTGTAAACAACATTCAGACAAAGAGAAAATATAGATTCGAATGCATTTTTGGCGCAATAAATAGATAATGGAAACATATCCGGTACCGACGAGATATTTTGTTCTTCCTCTAGTTATACAAATATTGTTATTTTTGATAATAATCTATTTATCATTTGAACAACATGCTTCATGAGAAACATCCGTTGATAAGTATTCCCCTTTAATCATTTTTTTATGCTAGCTACTACAAGTATTTGTTTTTGATTCTTAAGTTTCAACAAGAGATTTTAGTTCCTACTATTAAAACACTGAAGCTTTCTAACAGTCAGTTAATATAGGATTTTACAATTGTATGTATCTGCGGTCGGTAGTAAAACAAAAGGGGTAATGATATGATCACTAACTAATTCTAGAGGACGATATGCTTGTGCGTCATTTTTTTGAACTGAATATTCTATTTTAACCTAATTGTGATTCTAAACTATTCTGTTTATCGATTCCCTATAAAAACCTTGCTCTCCATAGAAATCAATTGAATGTTACTTTCTTAAGTCAATAAAAAAAAGGGATTCACTCAATCTTTCTTGATAAATATTTTACTTCAAGTTGAGTAAAAACAATTTTCTATTGGGCAATAAAGAATAAAAATCCTCGATATGCATCGTATTCTGTTCATCGTAGACAGTTAACGTTATGTCAACCAAAAATGAGTTGTGAATAAACTACCGATTATTATCATTAAAATCTTTCATATTGATTCGAACACGATATATCATGGAAAGATGCTCAGTAACATACAACGAATGTAATCTCTACTATTGATAATAATAAATTCCAATGACTATCGCATGCGTGGAGTTTTTCTAGAATCACTAACACGATCAACGTTTTAAAATGAAGAATTTAAAAGATTCTTTAAATATGTTTTTTTAATATTCACTTTTATAGCATACCTATTTGATAATGGCAAACAAGTAACAGAAAGTTTTTCATAAGAATGCATTTATCGAAATCGAATTTTAACAAATAAAAAATGGATATGTCAATGGTTTATTTAAAAAAAATATCACCAAACAAAATTCAAATAATTTACAATATGGTGTAAACAATAGTTCATAAAACGATAAAATAAACGACTATTCAAGATCGATCCTTCAATTACACCGTGTACCACATCAGTTAGCGTACTAATGTTATCGACATAAAAGAGATATTTCACAAAATGCTCAAGATTTTCTGCTCCATATTTTGTAAAATACAAACATGTAACGATTTACATGAATTTTACAACGTAGGATATATATGTATGATTGAAGTCAGAGCTAGGACGAGTACTTTTGAAGAAAAAAAGTACTTAAACAAGAAATTTTTTGCCAATTCGGAATAGACCCATACCCAATAGGCTCATTTTGTTCATCTTAACGACCTTTATCAGATACATTGATACATAATTCATCTACAATATCTGTACTACAGAAAAGCGCGCAATACTGCAAAAATCGCAAATACTTTCAAGTACAGGTGATTTTTGCAGTATAGCGCGATTTTCTGTAGTACGGAGATTGCACATGGAATATGTATCAATGTATCTGATGAAGCTCGTTATGGTGAACAAAATGAGCCTATTGGGTATGGGTCTATTCCGAAATGGCAAACACTTTCTTGCTTAAGTACTTTTTTTCTTTAAAAGTACTCGTCCCAGCTCTGGCTCCATCAATGCAAGCACTTCTTCTATCGGAAATCGCCACACACGTGTGTACGTTATAATATTATTATTGGAAGCGACACGACACACCACACAACAACGACATTTTGCTCAACGTTTAAGTGAATTACGTAGTACAATACACATTAATTAGTAACAAATGACTGCTCCCATTCGGGTGCTTATCTGCGGCACAGGAAACAGTGCGCATGCTCTCGTAGGAATTTTTTCTTTGAAAACAAACGTCGAAGTTCGTGTTCTAACACAGAATGCCGACAAAGCTAATCAATGGGAAACGCTCATTGCTAGGGGACAACATACAGTTCTTGTGTGCGGAGAAAACGAAGATCTGGCTGTGTCGATGGCCAATCCTCTTATTGTGACAAATGGCCCAGAGACAGTGGTATGTGGATGTGATATCATAATCTTGGCTGTTCCCGCATCTCTCCATTGGGATTATCTCACCTTAGTGGAACCTTACATCGAGAATGGATGCATTATAATGGGTTTACCAGGTCAATGTGGATTCGAATCTGAAGTGGGGCAGGCGCTGGGTAAAAAACTAAACAGTTGCATTATAATGAATTTCGAATCACTACCTTGGATATGTCGAATGGTCGAATTTGGAAAGACAGTGAAAATTACTGGAACCAAAGCTAAGCTCATTGGTGCTGTATAGGGTGATCTGACAAGAGCACGAATCGCCGATCCTTTTGAGTGTATACAGAATTTGTTCGGGGAGAAGCCCAAATTAGATTTCTCGGGAAACATGATCGAAATTATTCTTCGTTCATTAAATGCTTTTATTCATCCAACATTGATGTATGCACGTTGGAAAGATTGGGATGGAAACGCTCTTGAACATCTGCCAATACTCTATCATGATATTGAAGAATACATGGCTGCTCTCCTGGCGAAAGTCAGTGAGGAAATTGTAAGAACAAGCAAACGGATCATGTTAGAGTATCCCGAAATAGACCTATCTAATGTCATTCCTCTGTACGAGTGGGAGCTATTGTATTATGGAGATTATATCACAGACAAATCGAATTTGATGACAACCATACGCACGAATTCTGGATTACAGGGTATCACGTATCCTATGATCAAGACTGAAACTGAAAAGTATATTCCAGATTTTAAGCATCGCTTTCTGACTGAATATGTTCTGTTTGGCTTACTTGTTATTCGCAGTATTGCAGAGATGGCTGGCGTTTCAACTCCATGTATGGATGATGTCCTCACTTGGTGCCAACAGAAAATATGCCAAGAGTATTTGGTAGGCTCGAAATTGATTACCAAAAACTTGGCAACTACGAGATGTCCACAACGATACGGCTTGATAACAATTGCTCAAATTCTCCGGTATTATTCGAAAAATCAGCAGACGCACAATGATGCTGAATTATGTTGAAGAAAAATTTTACGGCACAGTAATCAAACTATAGATTTGGGTGTGGGTGTGATTTAAATAAATAAGCGAATTAACATTATGGTGAAGTAAAAATAGAAATTCAAATGAATAAATACTAGATATAAATTAATTAATTAATGATTAAATAATGTTTGTTTTTTTTGTGTTTTCTTTTAATATATTTTAGTTTTTTTGTTAGTTTCTATGCTTTGAAATTGTTTCAGAGTTTTTTAATGGTTTTTGTGTACTCAAAAAAAAAAGAGTACACTAAAGAATCGGTCAGTGTGTCCGGCCGTCCGGCCGTCCGTCCGTTTATTCGATAACTCTTCACAATTACATTCGATTGAGCTGAAATTTTGTGCGCAGAATTGTCTCATTAATATCTAGATCGAGTTCGAAGATGAGAAGGATCCGTCAAAAAATGGCTGAGTTATCGAAAAAATTGTCATTTTTGATCAGACTATCCCTGAGGGGGAGTACAGGGATTTTTCGAAAAAAAACGTTTTTCTCTCAGAATTATCCACAACATATATAAATCGACTCAGTTTTTTAACGCTGATTCTGAATCTGATATTGATTTTGAAAAAACGTAANGTTATGGTGAACAAAATGCGCCTATTGGGTATGGGTCTATTCCGAATTGGCAAAAAATTTCTTGTTTAAGTACTTTTTTTCTTCAAAAGTACTCGTCCTAGCTCTGATTGAAGTATCAAATTAATTTTTATCATTGATTTCATTTTGATGCAATCCGTTCTCTGCATATGAATCAATACGCTTTGTAGGAACAGATAAAGAAGAATATAAATAAGTAATGACAAATGAAAATATAATACAGATGATAAACGAGAAAATATAAAACCAAAACGAGTGACTTTTAATGAATTTTATTGGACCATGTATTGATGATTGATCATCTCTTGGTAGGATAGAATCTTCTTGCACCTCCATATTAGATTCATTTAACATTGCCAGCTCTAATGGAAGAAAAAGACGATATCAATGCAATTTACTATTTCGAATAACATTTAAATAGATCCTTTTAAAAAGAACAAATGTAAGCTATCTTTTTGTTTTTTGTATGAGGAAAAAGTTCTTGGGAAATGAAACTACAGATGAAATACTTCTGTGTTTTTCTGACTAATGCTTCTGCAATTCTGGGTTGTTTAAACAGAAAACATTAGATTCAGAAAAATTTCCGTAGTGGCCTTCATTAAATGAGTTTTTAATAATATTGAAGAAATAACAGAAGTAAAACAAAAGAAAAATAAGATTTTCCATCAAAATCGTAATGACAAAAAAAGTAATTCTAAGAACTGTAGAACGATTCCACTTGTGAATTTCAACAAACTTACTTACTATTCTCTGGGTAAGAACTGTATCAAACCATGTTGAAAACGAATTTAAAGCGAATATGCCTTCGGGCCATAGTAATGCATGCAAACAAACAACAGTTGAAGCGGAAGACTATTCGAAATTTTAAAAGACTTTTAAATACGAAGTAACCAACTAAATCATTTCTACTTTTTCATTTTTTAAGCGTCTATAAAATGACTCATTATACCTATAGTTTATATGTTTAGCAGATACGATCTACATGGCACTTGAGGCAAAATAAAATACTAAGAATGAGAATTTTTTTTCCAACTCTTCCTATCGAGTCAGCATTTGGTTATGAATAGTAATGACTTTGAAATTTTGATAATTGCCAAACGTTTTATTCTTCGAACCAATAGTTTGTTAAACAGTTTGATTTTGCAAAGTATTTGTGAGAATAGTATTATTAAAGTAGAAAAAGAAGCTATTGGCTATTTATTGCTAATTATAATGTTTTTAAAAAATGAATTTTGAAAGATCTTCCTCTCCAAAAAATAAAGATTATTCCTAAGAAGATTGTGATAAAAATCTAAGTTGGCAGTGTGCGTGTCAATACAAGTATAGAAAATTTCTCATTCACACTATATTTAGACCGATTGATGTATTTTCGTAACGAATGATTTTTTGATCAACCTTGAAAAAACGAAAATATTTACTCACCAATTAATGTATCGTCGTTCGTAAATCTTGTATAGAAATATGCAGAACAGCAATTCATATTGTTATTGTCAACCATCGTTTTAGGTGCGACGATTGATTTGTTTACGTATCTTTGCGTAATTGTCAATCAAATAGAATTGTTTACAATATTTTACGTATTTAAATCTAACAAATATGGTTTAAAATCAGTAAGCGTTGCTAGCTTGACAAATAGTAAATAATAAAACTGCAAAAAATCGATTGATTTGTTTGCTATTATTTATAGAGGAAAAGGGAACGATATGGGACGTGACGTTTAATTCAATTGTGTTTTGCTGACGCACAAACGAAAGAAAGGTATACACTTGTTTCTACCGAACGTAAAATGATCGTCACGTGTGTGAACATACTCGATCATACTTTTAGTACGTGAGATTTATTTCGAAATAGAAGTTTCAAATGCACATGCTTTTCAATAACAAACCAATAAACAGTGATTTGAGTTTATTTTGTTAAATAAATAAAATTTTTCAAGTTGATATAATTATACGTATCTATTTCAAAAGAAAATTCCAAATGAAGATTACTTAATATCTTGCATTTATTTAAAAGGGTCGAATAACCAAAGTGTATGCTGAAAAGATAAAATTTCAGGCAGTCCTATTTATTGTTACTCAAAATAGTATGAAAGAAAATACTTATTAACACCTTGACTATTGTAATGATATCTTCTATAATATAAGATTGCAAAAAGAAAATGAATAATAGTTGACCCCTATACGTTACATCTGAAATTAAGAAATCACAAAAACCAATATTTCTTTTCAAAACATAATATCATTTAATTCTGTGTGTATCTATGAATGAGGTTAATCGACTTTCTATAAGACCAAATACATAATGAAGAATTTATATGAGATCTTATAATTATGAAACTGTTCTATAAGTCAGATCATATTGAATTTTCTCTTTCACATTGAGACAAATTCAAAAACATAAAGGAAAATTTATTTAGTTTAATTATCAAAATGAATTATTAGGAAAAAGTTAGTCTATGGATAACTTATTGATGTTGTTTATCCGCACATGAACTTATCATTGTTTTTTTAAATAAAAATGCTGTCAAAAATTGATTCGAAAGTAATGAAATCTATTTTAAGAGCTACCTGAAAACATGTTCATTATCTTCAGACAAAACAAAAATGATCGTTCTTTCATGATTTCCATTTTGTTACAGCTGCTCGCAGATGTGATTTTTTATAAATTCTATAAAGACTAAAACTCTTCGGTACCATCTTTAAAATTCCTCTGCGCAATAATATTTCTTGACGTTAAAACACATTTTCAAACGCATAAACATTATTAGAATTGACATTCGAATGCGCGCGGCATCTATCTGTATCAAAGGTTCGTGTCTCCGTACCTACCGTACGAGAAAATGATAAGTCATCCAGTGATTCGCTTTAGTGTTTGTCAAATAAAGTTGCAAAACGCGTTGGTTGGTTGGAATACAATACAAAATACGTGTACGAATATTATTGCTTATTTTTAATTATGAGTTTGAGTTCAAAAGGATCGGTTTGTTTGCATTAACATGCATAACTTTTGTTATGCTATCAATCAAGTGTACCGTCAGTAATTGCATTGGTACAGGTGAGATTGCTTCAAAGTTTTTTCTTTCTCTTGCGATATTTTGATCAGAATGAATAAGTTTCGTATTTCAGATCTTCTCTAGTCTTCTAGAAAGAATATCATTGTCAGTGAATAAATCTCGTTGAAGTTTTTCTCTTCTTCATAAAATCGTTCTACACATACATACTAACTCACTCTTATTCATGTAATAAGGCGTGCTATTTTATTAAAATATTAAAAATAAAACAGCGAGCGAATTGGCTCCAAAAAGAAATAGTAATTTCTTTATTAATTAAGAAGCATAGGTTCCGATTTATGGAACCTATTAAAAATGTTCATTTAGTTAAAAAATTGCTTTGACCTAAAGAGCTTTAGCATTTATTGAGAATTAAAATTGGATACAATACTTCATCGATAATTTTGTATATGGGTTGATGATGGTGGTAGTAATTTTTGTGTCAATTGATTGACATTGTTATTAGTAGATAAATTACTGAATTGCAAATCAGGTGCTTCTACATTATTTGCATGAAAATTTTGGACTTTATAAGGTTTTTGTATGGTAGGTATAGCGTTCGGATTCGTCTCTAGCAAGCGAAGAACATTTTGAACTTCAAGTATTTCTTCAGGAGTAAGGTCATTTATTGAAGATTCATGGCCCATGCGAGAATCTGGTGGAAATTTGAACCATTCTATGTTACTTGACGTTGTTGCAGCTGTAGAAGGCACTGTATTGTCTACTGGAAGTAGTAGGGCAGTTTTATTTCTCAATAAATCGGATGACATCGTATTCATTTGGTGTGCAACAGTAGCATCATTTTTACCGTTCACTAGTACTGGGTTTTTATTAGTTAACGAAGAAGGAACGAAGGAATCTATGGTATTTTTGCTAACATTGGTAGATGGTAACAATGTATGATGATGTGCTATTTTTTCTTGATCGAATGTGAAAGTTGACATATCACTGCCACTATCATAAAATACATTTGATGATGAGTATTGAGTCGATGGTTTAGAAGTCTGTAATTTCTTATCCGTAATTGTCACTACAGATCGTACTGAAGCTGGTGGTGTTTCCGGGGGAAACACTCGTTTATAAAATGGTGGAATTGGTGGAACTGTATGATCAGCAGGTGATGTATTGTCAAATACCCACGCACTCAGCAGCTCGATAGTTTTGCTATTTTGCTTACGTTTACTTGTAGCTTTCGAATACGGATCTTCAGCCGCTCTGTCTGTCTGTTTAGCGTCTTTGGTATCTTGTACTTTCCCTATTGTCACAACTTGTGACGTACTGTTTTCCCCGCTACGAATTTTCGAAGGTTCCGATGGCCAATAAGGGTTCTGCCATGATTCAGCATCTTGTTTAGATGAATCCATTTGTTGCGACTTATTATCTTGTACAGATGAATATTCTTTCGGTATTGTTTGCGGCTTAGACAATGCTGTTACTCTTACTTGAGGTGCACACTGATCCCAATTGTTATTTTCAAATAATCTACCTACCGACTTCGATGCCAGGGAGTCTCGAGTTTCCTTCTCATTCCATAATGAGTTTTTGAGTGCCTTCTCTTCTGATCTCACATCTGACACCGTCGTAGGTTCGTCATTTTCACGACGCCTATTTTCAGCTGCACTCTCTTGACTTTTAGAAAGTGTGACAATAACAGGTTTCGTATTTTTCCAATATGGCTTGTCAAATGCTTCAACTTGTGATAGCAAAGATATATCTATCTCAGATTCTGGACAAACGATTTCGAACACTTCATCTTCTAATGCCCAACAAGTAATATGCAAAGGTTTCTTTTCTTCACGGGCAATAATTTCAGTTCGCCTATTATGTGTCATACCAGTCTTAATCAGATCCGCTTTATTCTCTTTCCAATATGGACTCTCAAATGGTTTGTCTAACACCTTCCCCGATGTATCGGTTACACCAGTAGCATTTCCAGCTAGTAGATTAGCTTTTGGTTGAACTTTTTGTGTAACAGATGGTGCCACAACAGATTTGTTGTCTTTCCAGTATGGATTCTCGAATTGTTTGTTTAGCACTTTCACAGATGCATCGGTTACAGGTGTAATATTTGTAACTAGGAAATTAGCTGGCGGTGGAACTTCTTGTGTCCCAGAGGGTACCACAACAGGTTTGTTGTCCTTCCAGTATGGGTTTTCGAACAGTTTGTTTAACGTCTTCGCTGATGTATCGGTTACAGCCGACGTGTTTTTAGCCAATAGATTAGCCTTTGGCTGAGCTTCAGGTGTAACCGATGGTACCACAACAGATTTGTCCTCTTTCCAGTAGGGGTTTTTGAACGATTTTTCTTGTACCTTCCCAGATATATCAGCAATAGGTGTAGTATTTCTACCTGGTAAATTATCTTTGGGTGGAACTTCTTGTGTAACAGAGGATACCACAACAGATTTGTTGTCTTTCCAGTATGGGTTTTCGAATGATTTTTCTTGCAGCTTCGTGGATGCATCGGTTACAGATGTAGTATTTCTACCTGGGAAATTTGCTGTTTGTTGTAGTTCAGGTGTAACAGATGGTACCACAACAGTTTTGTTGTCTTTCCAGTATGGGTTTTCGAATGGTTTTTCTTGCAGATTCGGGGATGCATCGGTTACAGGTGTAGTATTTCTACCTAGGAAATTAGCTTTGGGTGGAACTTTTTGTGTAACAGAGGGTACCACAACAGATTTGTTGTCTTTCCAGTATGGGTTTTCGAATGATTTTTCTTGCAGCTTCGTGGATGCATCGGTTACAGGTGTAGTATTTCTACCTGGGAAATTTGCTGTTTGTTGTAGTTCAGGTGTAACAGATGGTACCACAACAGTTTTGTTGTCTTTCCAGTATGGGTTTTCGAACGGTTTTTCTTGCAGCTTCACGGATGCATCGGTTACAGGTGTAGCATTTCTACCTGATAAATTATCTTTGGGTGGAACTTCTTGTGTAACAGAGGATAGCACAACAGATTTGTTGTCTTTCCAGTATGGGTTTTCGAATGGCTTTTCTTGCAGCTTCGTGGATGCATCGGTTACAGGTGTAGTATTTCTACTTGATAAATTATCTTTCGGTGGAGCTTCTTGTGTTGCAGCGGGTAGCTGAGTAGGTGTATTATCGTTCCAGTATGGGTTTTCGAATGGCTTGTCATGCGCTTTAGGTGTTGGATCGAATTCAGTACTGATAACGGTGGTAGGTAGATTTACTTCTGATTTAACTTCTGGGTTTGTCGGTAGGATCGAATCGGTTTTTGTGTCGTTCCATTTTGGATTGTCGAATGATGTTCTTTCTTTTTTAGTAGATGTTTCAGTTGCCGTGTTCTTCTCTTCGACAGATATTACATTTGTTGATGGAGTTTCTTGTGTGTTTGATATATTACTGTGAAGATTTTCGTCCTCCCAGGATGGATTTTCGAATGCAATGACTTTTTGCTTGGTTGATGGTTCAACTAATGATGTCGTATCTGTAATATGTGGATTATCGTTTTTTTGGACTTCTAGTGTTGTAGTTGGAACCACAGTAAGCGTTTTGTCTTTCCAATATGGATTTTCGAATGGTTTATTGTCGGTTTCGATTTGTGTTGCAGCTGACGATATCTTATCTTCTGAAAGAGTGATAAGCTTTGGTGCAAATTCTGGTGTTGAATAATCGATTGGATCAAGTCTTCTATCTTTCCAGTACGGATTTTCAAATATTTTATCCTCCTGCTTCGAGCATATGCTATTCGGGGTTTTTACTGGGTTTACCGATGGATTGTCAGTGAATCTTATTGTTGTTTGTATAGATGTCAGAGAGTCTGCTTCTTTCTCTTTCAGTGATTGATCTTGCAAGGTTGAATCGCGAGCTAATGAAGATGCTGCAGTCTTGGATTGTTCATTGACTGGATTGAGAGTCGACGTCGGATGAGTAGTTCGTCTTGAGAATTCTGGTAGTGAAGTTTGGTTATCGTTTCCAGCAGGTCTATCACAACCTTCTACCTGCTGATTATTGAGTAATGTTATATCTAAGGCATTGTTTTTGTTGTTTGAATTCGAATTATTATTCGACGATTCCTCTAGCGCACCAGTGGTTAGAGTTTGTGGTTGATTGGATTTGGCATCGTTGCTTAGTAATGACCTGTGTTCGTCTTCATGGTGCACTACATTTTCTAGTTCGCTCTTGTTTGAACTTGAATGAAAAAATGATTCATCTGGTTTGTTGGATACTGTTAATTCAGATTCATGGTGTTGCGGAAGTGAATTTTCTCCAGTATCAATGGATGAAGTAGTGAGTTCGAATTTATCCCCTATCGATGTTAGATTTTGTGTAGTTTTAGTGTTCCAATAGGGATTGATCCATGGTGTTGGTTGCGAGTTTAATAATGTCTCAGATCCAATATTTTGTGGTTGAGATGAGGATTTGTCGTTTGGAATTGTACCATCTCTCCTCAATGATGTTGACTGTTGATTTAATATTGGTTCGTTTCGAATATTTTGATGACATAGTGTATCGAAACGTTTGTAATTGAAATGATCTGCTCCATTTGCAACTGTATCAGTTAATGTTGTTACGGTCTGATTTTGAATGTGTGTGGGTTCGTCATTAATTAAAATAGAATTTGTTGGAATTTGTTCTTTATCTGTGTTGGATGATAAACTTTGAAAAAAGAAATGGATGCACGATGCTAAATCTTAGTCAAAAGTTATTAGTTAAAATATTCTTACCATCTAACATTACAACTATCAGTATTTTCTTGAATGATTGCTCCTGCTACTGGCGTTGTCAATTCGAAATTAGCGCTAGCACGAAGATTCACTGATTCATTTGTTGTGTGTTGCTCTTTATCGTCGTCACTAGTAACACTAGGAGCTTCATGTTCAATAATTGTAATAGATTCGGTCTCCATGCTATCACCACCGAAATATCGATCATCAATCGATCTAATAAGAGCTTTATCTTCCTCATCTAATGTTGGTCCGTTTACATCAGTATCTTTGATTTGTTCCAATTGTTTTATTATTTCTGATTGCTGTTCAGTATCACTTTTGACATCATGCCAAGAATCAGTCGTTGTTGTTTTCGATGTAACATATGATGCTGACGATGATGTTGTTGCTGTTGTGTCTGTTTCTGAAAAGTCTTCGTCTGAAGAGCTTTCATGGGGTCCACCAAATAGCATAATTTTTATAATCCTTAACAATTATATTCTCGAGTAAAGGTGAAGAGTCCAATTTTTTTATTTAAACACAAAAGAAACGAGATAAAAGGCAAGGCTGAATACAATAACTTGAATAAGCCGACGTTTACTACTCAATATGAATCAGTGTCAATGGCGAGTCAACTTATTCCGTTCCTACTTATATATGGCCATGGAAGAAAAAAAAGGAAAATTAAATCATGCATAACCACTACACGAAAAATAAAATAAATATCACGTTTTATTTTTTTTATACGATAAATGAATCCTTATTATAAGAAATAATGCTTCGTGGATTTTCTATCATTATCTTTATTAGTACACCAATCCTTTCATCTTGTTGTTTTTTTATTCATAAAGCAAACGCTACATAAATGAAAATGTTTCTTTTTTAGTAGCGATCGATGAAATTAAGGATGGTTGTCTATGCATGACGCATGAAACCAATAATAGTGATGTGTATGCGTAAAAATACTTTCTCCTTTGTGGTAATGATGTCTGTGCATCTATTTTTCTTTTTCTTGCTTTTATATACAAGTTGATAAAAGTAGTCGAGTGCGTGCCAATGGATTATAACTCTTGCTCGTTTGTTGGTTCAAACAACCTACTCTTGACGTGAAGTTGTTATGAAATAACTTTTTCCTTTTTCGTGGTGAATTGTCACACGAGAGGTTGAATAGTATGTATGATGTAATGCATAAGAGAAACGCTAGGAGAGAATGAGAGACTTTTTCTTTGTATCACGTAATCTTAAGTCGCAGTCGATTGACAATTTTTCTTTTTTATTCATCCCTATTGTGGAGTCTGTCTGTATATGTAAATTACAACAATAATAAACGGTTGCTTATGTTTCGAATGAAAAAAATAGTTCGAGTAAGTTTTAAACTATCAATTATAATCTATTCATGAGTGACAACAATGCTGATCATTGTTGTGTATGTCAATAGTAAGGATTTTTCTCTCCCTTTTTAACCTCATTGATTGTGTACAATACGCGAACAAGAAAAAAAAGAGGAGAAGCTGAAATAAAGCGGACAGGTCAACTCTATTAGTATTCTCTTATTGTACATCTGAGATACACTACAAAATCGATGCCGTTTAATCGTCTACGACGCTGGGTAAACATTATTAGAATTTAGATATTTTTGTTTTTTGACAATAAAAGATTTCGAAAAAGTCAAAATATCAAATGATTTTTCTATCTTATTTCTAAACTTCTTTTTAGCGAGCGTTTTTGCTCTGTCGATTTGAGGTAAGCTTGAAAGCATAATAAAAATAAAAATAAAACAAAGCATGTTTGATCGCATGACTATCTTGAAACAAATTTGAAATACTTTTGCGTTGTTTTATAAAGTATTCTCAATCTTATGTTATTATAGAATCATGTAGAAGATCATGTCTATTCAACTTACAATGAAACCTTCGGCAGTGAATCTGTCTCATCGAAAGACACACATAGTCATTCAAGTATACATATATATATATATATATAGCTATGTGATCAAAAAAAAAGTGACATTTCTTATGTTTAAGGTTCATCTGACGGCGGCATATCATCAGATCAACAAAGTTGGATGAGTAGTCAAACGAATGTTTATGATCAAATATGTTATGATTCAATTCATACGAATACAGATAATAATTCTCCATCGAAATATAATGATCCATCACCACCATACGTTCCATCATATTTATCAGATGATGCAACTGAACATTATTATGATCGTTTGCCAACACCAGCATCGTTAATTACAAATGAAAGCGTTCCATTAAAACCTAATCTGACCAAGCAACAATCAAATACAAAAAAGGAGTTACACAAAGAATTAATTTATAAACAAAAAATGTAAATTTTAAAACAAATTTATTTTTAAGAAAAAAAAACAATATCTTGTTTTATTTTTCAGGGGACAATTATTACCTAAGAAGCCAGAATTACTTAATGTTTTTAAAAATCGACGCGATGAAGAGAAAAAACGTGAAGATGAGCGAACGCGTGAACAAACAAAATTAGAACAAATTCTTGCACGACAACGACAAAAAATTGATGAAGTATATTTATTTAAAAACATGAAACAAAACAAAAAAATGCAAAATTAAATCTTATTTATTTTATTTAGTCAGAAAATGTTTGTTCAATCTCCAGTAATGAAAGTGCTTATTCGAATGAATTTGAATTTGTTTATCATCGAATTCGTCAACGGCAGAAAAAAAACGAATGATTTCTCTATTTTGACATTAATTTCTTTTTAATACGTTTTTCTGTTCTTTGAAAATATTTTCCAATTTTTTTTTCTTTTCTCCTTGTTTCAGATAAAAAAAACATTCTAATAAAAAAAAACACTTCGCTCAAATTATAAAAAATAAAGCCATATTATCGATGCCAATGATAACTATTATATCAAATCAATTTTTACTTTTCTTGTGTTTTCTTGTTATTCTATTCTGTTTACCATGCTCAACTTTCAAGATGCCAGGTAATTTTATGAATGTCGATCCATGTATTACATGTAAAGCAATAAGTGAGAAATTTGTTGAGGTATTGTTTAGATTTTAATATTTTTAAACATAAACAATTTTGTTTTTCGTGAACTTTTAGGGTTATAAAAAAACAGCCGGAAGTAATTTTGGAGGGTAAGAGTTTCCGCAGTATTCTTCAATAATATTTATTTTATTTTATTTTCTAGAGGTAATACAGATTGGGAAGAAAAAAAATTGAAAGCATACGCGAAAAGGTAATCATTCAAGCTTTTAACATTGTTTTGTAAAAGAAATTCAATCGATAAGCTAAAATCTTATTTTCGTTAGTTAATATTAAAAATAAAAGTCATGTACAAATCGCCTGATATGAGTACGTGCATAAATTATCATTGAATCACGACAATAGCATACATCTGTAATTCTAGAAGTATTTCTACAGCATCACTGACTTATGTTGGTTACGAAATATTGGGAAGTTTATTGAAAATTTTCTTTTGTCATCAGTTTATCGTATTATTATTTTACTCGATTATCGTTAGTAAATTCAATAGGATCACGATGAGAAAAAAAGTTCTATTGACGCGATAAATCAATTCTAATATTAACCAAGTTCAATTTCATTGTACATAGACATGAAGAACATAAATAAAATGTTTGTTTAAATAAAGCTCGTCAAATAAATGACCTTCTTAAGCTCTTCGCCATTTCATGATTTCTTTTTTGAAGGTTCCGAAATTTAATTGATTTGTTCCTGGGTCAGTAATCTTATTAAATCTCCTACACAAAAAAAAAGAATAGCATCGAATGTCATAAAAATGGACCAGTCGATTGCTCTTTGTACAAATTAGTTGAACATCAACAACTTCCTACATAATAGTTCTATTTATTCAGAATCAATCTAATGAACTCAACGACAATCGTATAGATTACATAAAAATAATCCATATATTTAGAGATTTGGCACGTTTTTAATAAAATATAAAACAGACGATATAGAATACTTAAGATCAGAGAATGACGTTCTAATAAATGTATACATTTATGCATGTCGCTAGTTCATCAACATCCTTGCAAAATTCCTTTCCCTATATTTCATGACGATTACTATGTACTTTGTTTTAAAATCGCACGAAACGCATTAAGACTATCTAATGAAAGTTCTACAGTAGAAAAATAATGTCTATTGACCAACGGAATATGAGGATGAAGAAGAAGAAGATGATGATGACGATGAAACTGTCTGTCTCATGCGGTGTAAATCTCCTTGCACTAGCGATAGGCTTAACAATGTCGGCTCGTAAATGTCATGAGTGATCGTAAAAGAGTAAAGTTCGAAAAGTTTGTCATAGCGCTAAACAAGGGCATGCTTTCTCAACTACGTGCCTAATTACAATCTATCAAAACGTGTTTTTAAAATGATGTATTATAAAATGAATTTTGTTTTAGTGAAACTCGCTTTATCGAAATAATGGAAGATGCATGTCCAAAATCTGAATCTCAGGTAAATAAAATTTTTGTTTGTAGTATTTTGTTTTGTTCACATTAGTTTTTTTTTATAGTGCAATGGTTTTCTTGAAAAATATGAAGACCAAATTGAAGAATGGTATCAATCGAGTTCATCTGATTTAATTGATGATTTCTATAAATGGTTTTGTCTTGATACAACAAACGCTTGTTGCCCAGAGGGAACATTCGGTAAAAATTGTCGTCGATGTCAATACGGTGATAATGGACGCGTTTGTTCAGGCAATGGCAAATGTGACGTAAGAAGATAGAACATCTCTTGTCTTTTGTTTTTGAACTTATGAAATCATTTCATATAATTACAGGGTGATGGTAAAAGAACTGGCAATGGTCGTTGTAGTTGTAATAACAAATATCGCGGAACAAATTGTTCAGAATGTCAAAATGGTTACACAAAATCAATAGATAAAGATAATGAAGTTATATGCACAGGTAAAACTTGATAAATAAAATACATTTATATTATATTATATTATAATTTATTAGATATTGATGAATGTCATGCGAATTTAATTCTTTCCCCTTGTCTACTTCGTAAATGTAATAATACAGATGGAGCATATGAATGTTTTGGTTTGTTGTTTTTCTATATTCGTTGTAAATTCTTGTTTGTCTTTTCTCTATTCAGGTGAACCATTCTATCGTGAAGTACCAAAATTAAGTACATTAATTGCCTTGACCACTACTTTTTTAATTTTACTGTATAACGATATGCAGGCACTGGCATCATTAACGTCTATTATCACCACTGTACTGACAATAGCCTTTGCTAAAAATCTTCTGTGATCAATCCGGTGTCTACAAAGAAAAGCAAGACTTTGATTAACGAATATATCGATAGCTATTAACTTGATATGTGTGGTTGTGTCTTTATTATTTTATTTTCTTATGTTGCTCCGTGTCTTTCGTTCACACTAAACTAATTATTATCCCATAAAAGGTTGTTTTCAATAGGATTAATTTTTATTGAATTTCATGTTCTAATAGATATTGTCACAATAAAAGAGCACTGATGATTGAGATAAAATGCTAGGTTCTTATTGGCACAACTTATTGATGTAATTCAATATTTTGAATCAAATTAAATTATTTGATCATGTAAACGCATAAAGTTTTCACTTAAAAAAAATAATCATGAAAAATGAACCGTTACCAAAACAAAATTATTATTAACAACAACAATTTTTATTGTGGAATGCATATAAATATTTGACGGAATGTCTACAATTGAAATAGTAACCACCTGAAATAAAAATAGTATTGCCTATTAATCGAAGAGTTAATTGCTAACGCAAACTTTCGAAAGCAACATCAGTCATATCAATCTCATAGGGAAACTTAGCGAAGAAATGGACATAGCTAGATTCAGATCTGAATGTAAATGAGAACCGTAGGAGATCACAGTTCGTATCAGCTCGAGAATAATTCGTGAATATCTGTGCTTGAATTGAATTATTCTGGTCGACACATATTATTAAAGAAATCTTTGACATAATGAAATTCAACAGTCATTTCGTTTATCATCATGCAAATCCTAAGTTTAAGACGATAAGGATCTCTTTAAATTAATTTGATGAAAAATACGCATTTTATTTTCTACCGTTTAATCTTATCAACTATATCGTTGCCTTTTGTTAGCTTATTTTTACAGTTAAGAAATCAAATTTTATTAGGCAAATATTTTATTTGAATAGCTTAAACTAAATAAAGCTAACGAATTTCGTTATCAAACCTTCTCATTCAAGCGCAAATATTTTAATCAATGGTATTGTTTTCATCTTGAACATAAGCCATTGAATATCTCATTTTAACAGCTAGACACAATTGAATAATTACCAGCTCGATGACATTTCGAATGATCTTTTACTTTCCTGTGCGAAATTCCACAATATCTCTGTATTATTGTTTAATTTGATACTTTACTAATAATTATATTAGTGGCAAATATAGTTACTGAAACATGACCTTGTTCTGACTGATGTAAACCAAGCGCGTTTAAAGATAACAAATACGATACGTTATTAAATTGATATCAATTAAAGATTATTATATAAAAGTACTTGAATATAACATTGTCCTTTTTTCTGTATAATTTTTCTTGGTTTTTATCATTAACTTTCCTCGCCAGACAATTTTCTTTTGCATTAGATTGTATAAGAACAATGTATTACAATTGATTTATTGGCAGATATTTGTAGACTTTTTAATGAAGTACTTGTAGCTATCTATTATCTGAGAAGAACATAATAAAAAAGAATACTTTGGTTAACAATATCCGTTAACATCTACTGACGAAATCAAGGTCACCCATCAAGACAATAGCGTGTATTTTATAACTTCACTGAGTTGACTTCCGTTTTTCATCTCAACGATCAATCTATGATTATTAATAGATTTTGCCTGTCGTTTGTTTACTCTCTTCAAATAAGCATGATCGATATCCGGCGGCATTATTCGATCATCATTACTAAAACGAATAAAATGACTATTCAAAAATGAATCGCTGAGTTGTTTATACTATATATATAAATCAGCCTTGTCTATCGTGAAGCAAATCAAGCTTTGCCTAATTGAACAAAAAAAAAAGAAACCGTGCCATTTGTCTAATGAATATTTGAGTGTATATACAAATCAGTGAAAAAATATATGTCTGTATAGGTTGATATGAAATAAATTTTGTATTGTAATGCTAAGATTACTGGTACAGTTAACAAATAAAACAAAATCACACAACAATGAGGACAACACACACACACACACGACACTATACAAAAAAAAAATGTTCTATTTTTATCCGTCACTTTCAGGTTCGTTCTTTCTATGGAATGACATAGATCTTTCTATTGTTCTTTAACATTTTTTATTTAATTCTAATTTTCGAAATCGATTCATACGTTGTTCCATACGGGGTCTCCATTGGATCACAACTGAGGTATGATCAAGACTTAATGATGATTGTGTTTGATCATAAAAACCCATTAGTAAATATTGTCGATCGAGTTGTAAACGTGGACATGAACATTCAACATCTTTACGTGAGACCCAAACCCATTGTTCACTATCTTGAATACGATTAAGTCGATCTTTATAAACACGAATAATAGTTAATAAATAGGATACCCATTGGCCAGCATCATGCCGATTAGTTACACGTGCATGAATAGCTGTTTTAAAGAGAGAAAAAAAGAAAGTATATTGACTTTTATGTTTCTAGTGAAACCTACTGTAATCTCGTTTACAAAATTTTTTTATATGTAAACGATGACTATAATAACGACAAGCACCACAATATTGTCCCATATCTATTGGTGGATGATATTCTGAAAGTGTTTGATGGACTGTTGTTGTTGCTGTTGTTGTTGTTGCAGCTGTTGGATTATTCTCAACATTTACATCTTGTTCATGATAATCATCTGTATCGTCAGGTCGATGATAGATATTATACAATGTCGATAGTTTAGTATCATATGTTTCTGAGAAAAAATAGATTTGTTATTTTTTAAGAAAAATTTTCTTTTTCTGTGTATTGAAAAAAAGAAACTTACTAATGCATGGAGCAACAGGTGATTTTGTTTGTTGATAACCTTTCACACATCGATCACATCTTAAACCTGTAACACCATCTTTACATAAACATTGTCCTGTTGTTTGATTGCAAACTTTACCACGTGAACCCACCGGATGACAATTACATGCTGAAAGACGAAAAGATAGAATTAATTGAACACTGATAATTTCTTTAATGCATATGTGTTTATGTCACGAAAACATTAGCTATACATTAGCTTAGTGTAATTTCTACATTAGTAGGCGGTAGAAACAATTGATTATATTTATTTGTCTTATTATAACACAGACAGAATAAATACATAGTAACAAATCGTTTATCTATTTCTGTTGATGTGTAAACATTGAATTAGAAAAAATCCACAATATAACTTTTAACAATTATCTCTTCTCAGCTAGTCTAGGTCACCAAAAGGCATGGATTTCTATATAACCTTGGCAAATTGCTCAGTGTTTCCTCTCTGTACAATTCTGAAAAGGCCATCAATAATTTTCTTTCTATAGATATATTTCTATACGCTTCCGTTCATTGACTAATGCATGTAGCGTATACATATCTCATACTTCATTATGGAATACTAAACAATAGCGAGAGAAAAAAAATACGAAGCTAACATTCGATTATTATCCCTAATGAGCAATATTGATATGTATTAAAAAGCCACATAAAACAAGGCTAACATAACTAACATAATTACATGCAAGGTTAGTAAAGATAAGGTAAAGCTTATAAACACAAAGACAGATTGGGAAAAGGCTAAGTAAAAAAGCTAGAAACAAAGGGAAAAGCTTAATGAATTAAACTTAATTTTTGTACAAATAAGTTCGTCTTTTGTTTTTGTTATATTTATTCGTACCTTTGCAAATTTCTGGATGTGTTATTGGCAAATTTGGATCTTGATAAAATGTTTCTTTGCAATAATTACAATAACGACCAACTGTATTATGTTTGCATTGTATACATATTCCACCTGATTTTCGTCCCGATAGAAGATAGAGTTCTTTATTGAAACGACATTGCCGTGAATGATTATTACAAGTACATGCTATAATTATTAAAATAAATATTCTTAACATATGGAGAAGTAAAATAGATTAACAGCATGAAAACAAATTTTTGTTCTCATTCCGAAGACATAATTCTATACATTAATGACAAAGACAATGTTAATGATCATAGGAAAATTAGTTTTTTCTACTGAATATTTCTAACTTGTTTATATTCCCTTGTCAAGCATTTATACTTATAATTGATTGTGTCGAGTCATGTGTAAAACACTCTTGACAATAATTACATGACTGATCAATTTTTTATGATGACAATCAAAAAAACAATGACATGTGACTAGACTTATGCTCAATTCATTGGCATAGTTTCAATATGCAAACGACATTTCGTTAAGTGATGATTACAATTGCATATTAGAATTAACCTTTCGAGTGTGTGTGTGTGTATCTTACTTTTCTTTGAACGACGTGTTAGAGCATCGAACACATGATTTTATATGTTTTAGTACACATAATCAAGTGTGTCATATTTAACTTTGTAAATCTCAAGATGAAATAGGTATAAAACTACATCTTACCGACACATTCGTTTGCGTCACGAGGTGTTGCACGAGTCCATGGCCGATCAAAATGAAAATCTTTGCATCTTTCACATTCATCACCTGCTGTATTATGTTTACAATCACACACTAAATGGCCATCACTAGTAAAATTAAAGAAAGAAAAACCGAAATAATTAATAAGAGTTCTTCTTCAATAACCGTTGATGTGTGTTGTCATAGATACATATAATCAATGCGCTCGAAACATTTTGAAATATATGTATATGAGTCAAAGGAATGGAATCAAAACGAATATGACAACACGTTTCAAGTGATATATATATATAATATGAACGGGAAATATGATCAATGTGAACATGCTTGTGATTTTTCAAGTACATTACAATATAATGACTTATCGCCATCAGAAGAAGGAAAAAAATAACATCATTGTTCAGAAATTCTCATTTCTATACATTAGTTTGTCAACTTCCGTCTTTTATTTTTATTCCCTTGTGAATAGCAAACTCGCAACAATGGAAACAATTGATCTTGATTGATCATTTATGAAGGCAAAAAAGAAAAGAGAGAATTTATAAATGACTATTATATCGATCAATCATTATGCACCTTTTTCAATTTTGTTTCTCATTGAATATTCAATTGACACTTGTCCAGTGTGTTACATCATCACTATCATCATCCAAAGAACATTAACGTTCTCTATATCTATCTTCGACCAATAGCTGATATTTCCAAGGACACTTGCTGGGTATAACCATATCACAAGGGCGGATATGCTTGTTTGCGCGACTAACCTAAACAAATACGACAGAAGTCTGAACTTCTGTATCTCTCTTTATTCATATATCTACGTATAGAGAAATGTGACATTTGTCTATGTATACTTGTGTTGATGAACAAATCTCATCTATTTGAGTAAACGTTATGCAGAAAGAGATCATAGATTTGATTCGATATCATCCTTTATCACCTTTTGTCTCACACATATACATATGTGATGCATTCAGATGAACCCAATCGAGTACAAAATACAATCTATGGTTCATCATTTTTACAGCTTCTATGTACATATATCTATCGTCAATAAACATCAGATCATAAAACAAAAACGCTTGTATGACCATTTCCTAGACATGTTTAATTAAATATATTATTCGGCGTCTCACATACTCGTTCGTATTCGTTTTCATTGTGTCAATCATCTCATCTTTCTTATGCATATTTATCAATTTTGATTCCAATATTCACGGTCAATTGATTTAATAAGAAAAAGAACAAGAAGAAGAAGAAGAAGAAAAGAAATTTGATCCATCTCATGAATAAAAATATTCTTTTTTTCCTCTTATCAGAAGAAATCTTTCACAAGGATAATATACATTTCATACCTATTTGTAATACATTTTGATGCATGTCCATTGCATTTACATCGTCCACCAACAGAAAAATCAGCTATAGAATAAAAGTTTTTATCTGAATTGGTTGATAATAAAACAATTTTAATGTCGGTTGCTGTAACCCAATCTTGTAAAACTGGACTTGTATCGAATTCGTAAGCGGATGGACGACCTTCAAGTGTACTAAATGCAATACGTGAGTCACTGTTTGATGATGATAATTGTGATTTCGTATCAATACATAAAGCTTCTTGTTCATTCGAACGTGTTATTAGTCCAAATGAACTTTTATTAAAAACCTCTTCACAATTATTTGAATAATATTGTAATGGTATCCAAGACAAACCCTTTTAAAAAGAAATCAACAAAAAAATCTATATTTTATTGAGTATAAAAGAATCTATTTCATCGTACCCTATCCATACTCTTAAAAATAGCCATGGAATCAGGTTTTATATCTGAACAAAATTGTAAACTAATATACGTTAATTCAAATTTTTTATTCAACGATAATACTAATGAAGCATTTTCTCCTGGTTTAATTAAATCGGATTGCCAACATGTTAAATTATTTGGATTATTAATATCAGTTAAATAATCTGTTGGGTAACTTGTATTTATTTGAGATGAATCGCATAGATGACATGCGCTTTTATTTGAACAAAATTCTCTAACAGGATTGCCACATGTTGATGATGCATAAATTGATTTATGAAAAGCTGCATTTATAAAATCAGGTATACAACGTTGATAGCGATTATGACGATCGATACATGGATCGTGATGATTTGAATAAAACATTCGATACCAACGATTAGCTGTACAGAAGGATGAAAAAAATAATAGAACATATATTAATTTTGTTAAAAACATTATTTTGTTTATTCTTCAATTGAATTCAAATCTTTACATTCTAAAAATAAAATAAAATGAACACATGTGTTACGTCTTCTCTTATTGATGACGTCAATTTAATATGCCATATGAAATATGAACAGACGCGCGGCTACCTATGTGTGTGTGTGTGTGTGTGTTTGTTATGAGCGTTATTATTTGTATAACATAAGAGATTGAGAGAGAGAGAGAGAGAGAGAGAGAGAGAGAGAGACGGTGAAAGAAAGTAAAAAGAACAAAAAATCATGATATATTGACATTCAACTTACTTCATATTCTTGTAAAAATGCTATTCCTATTATTGTACGAACGAGAACTATAGTGATTTCACTTACTTTGATTTTGGAAGAAGAAGAAGAAGCGATACATATATAACAAGAGAAGAGAATAATTTCTCTGTTTCTCCCCCTTTCTGTTCTATAATCCCTTCTTGACTCTTCTCTTCTCTTCTCCTAACAAGATGTGTTCATTTGCACAGAGCGATTTCTCTCAATATATATATTTATATATGTATGTATGGCATGTTCTCGTTCCGGAGAAACAGAAGCGGAATAAGCAAGCGTAGGATGGGAAGAGATGGAAGACGATAGCAATACTGTGAGAGAAGACATATACTATGATTATGATGGAACTAGAAACGGACGAACGGTGGCAAAGTTTTTTTAATTAGTCGTCAGCACGGCGAGCTTTTATTGATGTCTGAAGAAGAAAAAAAAGGCAACTTTCAATTAAGAATATATGAACAAAAAAAAGTGCTCTTTGGGACTCGAATAGTTATATTGACAACTCAATAAGTTTTTTCTATCAAATATATGAGAAAAAGCTAACAAGTACCTAACTGTGCCAATGGACAAACAGGAAAAGTAGTGTTGACAGCTTGCTACCTTGAATCTTGTGGAAAAAACTATCATACGCTAACTGAAAACAAGATATTTTTCAATATGGGCATGAATTCTGTTATTTGATGAGATAAGAAAATCAATGATTGAAACGATTGATAATCCATCTAAATGTTTCTCAAACATTCAATCAATTACTAATAATCGTTCTCAAAAAGTTCGACTAATTTAGTTTTACTTTCGATTGCACTTCATTACCCTTCAATGGTGGAAACATGATAGAAAACGAAGAAAATCGTTCCACTTAGCAAAAGGAATAAGTGTTAACTAAATAAGCTCCTATTGCATCTCATCATTCAAGAATACTTATACATATATGCATGTATTTCTCTTGATTGAATTCATTGTCGTTAACATTAATAGTGTATCATTTTGCGAACTATTACGTATTCTTATCGTATCTTCTGCTATTGAGTTCGGAAAAAGTATCGTTATGATCACAATTAGTTGCATGTAGATACTATCGTCGAGCATTATATTGTCTATCATGATAGGAATCGTGAAACTGAAAAAGATGAAAAAGAACAGTATTGATTGGGATCAATGGCAGATATAAACAATACAAAATGTGAGATGGAATATATTGTAATTTATTTATTCTACTTTGCGTATCATAATGGAAACATGAAACTAGTTATAGTTGTCATTTTTTCGATCTGAGTCTTTGAATAATATTCTAAAGATTTCGAATTTTGTTTTTTCATTTTATACAATTTTATGATTTATCTCAGTCAAATAAAAATTCAATAGCATTTTCATTCAGATCAAACAATAGAAAAAATATGTTCGACTGTGTGTGAAAATTTTTTAGGTTTGGATTTTAATTTGTGATAGTCAGTTTTTCTTTCTAGAATTTACCGCTTTGAGAATCTAATAATAAAACTTCAGAGCCATTTTATAGATAGAATACACTGAGTGTCACGAAACAATCTGCTGCCAACTGTTTTTTTAATCAATCACTTGAGTAGCTTGAATGGATTTAGTTGTATGGTTTTCCAGCTGTAGATGTTTTCACTCTTGCAAGTCAACTATTTATTGAATAATCAATGACAAAAGTTTTATCTGAAAGTTTGCTCTTCAATAGTCACCAGAGAAATATATATATATATTTCGTGCATATAACACAATTGACTTATCTTAGATAGTAAATGACTTACGAGGGAGGGTCACCAAGTGTTCAACCGCTTTTGCGCTGAAACTACTTACATTGTGTAGCTTCCGATGAGTTATGAATACGCTAAAAATACTTTGGGCGAATCGCTTATTGTGACGAAACTAGGCCATTTCTAAGGTATGAGCTTTTTTGAGTGCCTGCCGCGCGGCGGGGGGGG